CTGTTAAAACTAATAAGTAAGTTGAATCACAGCATACAAAAATAAACTTAAAAATCTATGGCAGAAAAAGCAAAAATATACAATGGAGAAGACTACTTCTTCAGTAAGTGTGTGGGAAAACTGAACCACTTTCTTACACCATACACAAAAATAAACTCAAAATGGATTAAAGACTCAAGTGTAAGACCTGAAACCATAAAACTCCTAAGAGAAAACGTAGGCATTAAGCTCTTTGACATCTGTCTTAGTAATGTTTTTTTTGCTTTTGTTTTTGCTTTTGTTTGTTTGTTTTGGGGGGTCTGCCTCCTCATGCAAGGGCAACAAAAGCAAAAATAAATGGTTGGTACTACATTAAACTGAAAAACTTTTGCATAGCAAAGGAAACCATCAGCAAAACAAAACTGCGTCCTAGCAAATGGGGGAACATATTTGCAAATGATATATCCAATAAGGGGTTTATATTCAAAATATATAAAGAACTCCTACAACTCAACACCAGAAAACCCAAGCAATCTGATTAAAAAATGAACAGAGACCCTGAATAGACATTTTTCTAAAGAAGGATATAGGGCCAACAGACACATGAAAAAATGCTCAACATCATTAATCATTAAGGAAATGCAAATCAAAACTACAGTGAGGTATCACCTCACACATGTGAGAATGGTAGTATCAAAAAACAAGGAATAAGTGTTGGTGAGGATGTGGAGCAGAGGGAACTCTCTGCACTGTTGGTGGGAATGCAAATCGGTGCACTATGGAAAACAGTATGGAGATTACTTGAAAAATTATAAATAAGAATACCATATGATCCATTAATTCCATTTCTGGGTGTATTTAACTGAAAAAATGAAAACACTAATTCAAAAAGATATATGCATTCCTATGTTCATTGCAGCATCATTTTCAGTAGCCAAGGTATGGAAACAACTCCATGCCCATTGGTAGATGAATAGATAAAGAAAATGTGCTCTCTCTGTTAACACACACACACACACACAATAGATGTTACTTAGACCTAAACAGAATGAAATCTTGCCATTTACGACAACACGGATGGACCCAGAGGGTATTATGCTAAGTGAAGTAGGTCAGGGAAAGAGAAATGCCATTTAATTTTACTTAGATGTAGATTCTAAAAAACAAAACAAATGAAGAAATAAAATAGGACCAGACTCATAAATATAGAGAACCAGCCAGTGGTTGCCAGAGGGAGGAAAGGTGGGAGAGATAAGCCAAATAGGTGAAAGAGATTAAGAGCTACAAACTTCAAATTATAAAATAGTCACAGGGATATAAAGTACAGCATAGGGGATATAGTTAGTAGAATTATAATAACTTTGTAAGGTGACAGATGGTAACTCCACTTATTGTGGTGATCATTTTATAATGTATATAAATGTCGAACCACCATGTTGTATACCTGAAACTTGTATAAATAATTGTATGTCAATTATACTTAAGTAAAAAAGGTATAATATATTGGGGCACCTGGGTGGCTCAGTCAGTTGGGCGGCCGACTTCGGCTCAGGTCATGATCTTATGGTCCGTGAGTTCGAGCCCCGCATCGGGCTCTGTGCTGACAGCTCAGAGCCTGGAGCCTGTTTCGGATTCTGTGTCTCCCTCTCTCTGACCCTCCCCCATTCATGCTCTGTCTCTCTCTGTCTCAAAAATAAATAAACGTTAAAAAAAAATTTTTTTTAAAT